AGGAGTACCTGTACCACAAGCACCTGAGTGGGGAGGTGCCCTGCAACAACCTGCTCATCGAGATGCTGCATGCCAAGAGGACTTGAGTATGGCCAGCAGCACGGCAGGGGCAGGACTGGTGCCTGGGGCTGTGGGCACACACTGCCTCCCACCCTGCCTTCCTCAGTGATGCTATTTAACCTCTGCTTTTGGAAACGTCCCAGATGGTTTACCACGCAGCAAGGACAGGTGAGGACTGCAGGGCTGTGGGCTTGGTTGCTGTTTGACTGACCCTGCTGTCAGTGCTCACCTCCAGCTCCACTGCTCACCTGGTCCCAAACCTGTCACTTGCCAACTCAGCTCTGCAGCACTAAGGAAGGGTAAAGCCTGCTCAGCTTCTCTCCTATTTCTGCTCCTCTCCTGCTGCCCCTACCAGCTGTTTCTCCACTGCTGCCCCAACCCTACCCCATGTCTCAGGGCCCCTTGTGCACAGGGCAGGGGAGAGGTGAGGTGAATCCCCTCCAGGCTGTGGTTTTGTGGTGGTTGGGGTGTCTCCAGGCACTGGGGGAACACATGGAGGCAGAGGATTTCTGCAGAAGCCACGCAGAACACTGGGGCTGGGCTGAAGATGTGCCATGCCAGGACCCCAAGGTGCACACACTGGGGTCCCAGTTACTGCCTGCTCTGTGTCCTACCACAGCCCCAGCCAAGCCAGGGCAGGCAGGGATGGGAAGCACTGAGTCCTCAGCTGAGGTTCATCTTCCCTGCCTCCAACCTGCCTGCTGGTGTTGGAGGCAGCAGCTGTGGCATTGCAGTCCATGGCACCCACAGTGTCCATAGCTGGCAAAGAGCTCTCTGTTCCTCTCCCATCACAGGACAGGGGCTCACAGACAGGACTGGGAGCACTAGGGCTGCAGCCCCCCGAGCTGGGACATGCTGAACTCTCACTGCTGCTTTCTTTGGTCTCGGCCATGCTCTCCTCTCTGCCACAGCACCAGGCAGCACATCTGGACCCCTGGCTCCATGGGCTCCTCTAGCGTGGCTGGGGGCATTCAGGTCTGTTCCCCATGGCAGGTGATCTCCTCATCCCAAGGGGCTGTTGCTCTCCACAGCTCTGCAGAGCTGGTGCCTTGAGGAGCCACAGAGCTGCACGGTTTGTGAAGCATGTTAGATGCAGAAGAGCATGTTTGTCTCTGCTTTAACATATGTTTGTGCATTTTCCTCCTGAAGTCTGTGGTTTGGTTTCACCTTCTTCTTTTTGTGAACTTAAAGAACTGGAGAAAATGGTTTGGGAGGTAAAAAGACCTTTTATTTTCAGAAAATGAAAAAAGTGTCCTTAAGTGTCTCTTTCACTCTCTCTCCCTCATATCTTTTTCTCTCATCCCTTCCCCTCCCCACTCCTCCCCCTTCCTTCCCAGGCAGGGAAGGCACTTCCTTGTCAGGAGCATACCACTGTAATAAATTTTGCAGTTCATTTGAAAAGGCAAATCTTGTCTTTTTGTGATTGTCTTTCTGTCCCTCCTGGTTGATGTTCCCCTGGCTCCATGGGCAGAAGAGCAGTGCACACATCAGCACCCAGGGGTGCACTCCTGGGTGCTGGGACCAGCACACTGTGCCTGAGGGAGGAGGATGCAGCTGCAGCCGTGTGATCCAAGGCATTGGTGATTGAGATCTGGTTCAAAGTGCTGCTGGGAATTGCCATAGTGACTCTGAGGGTATTTGCACGTGAGCTCACCAATGGCAAAATTTGTGGGTAATTAGCCTAGGCTTGGATTTTTCATGCAGCTCTTGGTGGTCCTGGAGGGATGGTCCACACACCCATCCCACTCTCTGCCCAGCACAGGGTGGTTCTAGGCCTGCACATCCCAGCAGCACATAACTACAGGCTGGGCAGCACACACTGTGCTGGGACCAGGGAACACAGGGAGAGGGCACGGGGGAGTGGGCAGTGCCCTGGTTCCTGCACCACAGCCAAAGCCCCTCCACTGTGCTCAGCCAAGTGGAGCTGTGCATGCTGCCGCACCTGAGCACGAGCCCTTTCCCTTGGACACAGTGCAACAAGGAGAGCAGGTTGTCTTTAAAATCAGCGTTTACTGTCGTCATAGGCAGCAAAACCCCACCACGTTTTCTGTGCTCTAAACACTACAGAGCAAATAGGAGAGCAGAGGAGGGAAAAGAGAGCCCAGCTGGCGAGGGGCCACACTAGCCAGGCAGCATCCCAGGCAAGAGAGGGAGAGGATTTTTGTCCATAACAGCAGAAGATGCTATTGATGTCAGCTGGCTCAGAAAAGGCTTGAAGCCAGCTGCTGGCTTCCCTGTGCATGTGCTTCCCACACAGCCCCCCAGCCCTGCCCAGTGGTATGCTGGGCTGGCAGTGGGGCCAGGGGAGGCAGCAGCTTTCACTGGGCCAGGAGCGTGGTCACCACCTGGGCATGGCTGCCACGGGCAAAGCTGGGCCTGTTCCCATCCCACTGCTCCAAGCAGCAACAACAACTGCACACAGCCATGTGTGCACTACTGGCAACACTGCCCCAGGACTGCCCTGGCAGAGGCTGCACGAGTTGCAGGGACCCCCATCTCAACAAGTACCTGCCCACCCAGGAGAGGAGCAGGACAAATGAAGTCCCATGAGACCCCACAACACCCCAGGCCTGCCTTGGTTTCCTCTGCCCATGTTGCTGGGAAGAAGTGCAGGGTAACAGCTCTGCCCAGGCTGGAGAGCCCTCCGCAGGGAAGCCAGCTCCTCCGTCCTGCCATCCTCCTGGCTGTTGGGAGACCTCCAGCACTGTAGACTCGTTACCCAGAAACTTCTCAGAAACCTAAAGCAAAAGAGAGATGGTCTCAGCTGTGTTGGCAGCAAGGGGAGGGTGATGGGAGCACTGCCAGGGTCCTACAGCACTCTGTAGAACAGAAAGCACAGCCCAAACCTGTCACAGGACAGAGAAGCAGCTGGAGGTGCTGGCCTGGCACAGACAGCCCTGCCCATAACTGGGTACAGCTCTGCCACCCCAGGGCACCTCTGCTCAATCACCAGCCTGAGCACAGCACCCAGCGCTGAGAGCACAGCAGAATGAGCTTTAACTGGGATGTAATGAAGATCCCAGTGCTGTCGTGGCAGGAGCACTGACTCACGAGCTGTGCCTCCTCCACAGGGCACACACAGGAGCTGCTCCTGTTGGGAAGGATTGTGGTGCCAGTGGTGAATCCACCACAGAGCAGCCCAGTGTGGTCAGCATGGGGGGAGGCACCTGCATTTCTCCCCATGACACTCGGGTGCTTCCCTGGCTTTGAATCCTGAAGACCTATAAGTTGCTGGTGATTTCGAACCAATCTTATTTAACACAAGATGGTGAGAGTTGCAGAATTCCTCAGTATCGATCAGAGCAAGGCTGGGCCGTGGAGACAAGATCCACGTTGCTATGTGTGGCTTAGCAACATATAAATGTATTCAAACAGAATAATGAAATTATCGTGGGGAAACAAAGCAGCCATCACTTGAGGAGGTGGAGGATGTAGAGGCCTCTCGGAGCCCTTGTTTGCCAAGACAAGGAAGCCGGGGGCAGGGGGGGCCCATGCCTGCCTCTGGCCCCAGCCACGCTCCAAAACTCATTTCTCCGGTTCTGAAACTGGCCTGGGATTTAACTGGATTTTATCCACCCTTATCCTCATCCCTCCCACCTCCCTGTGGCCCTACTGGCTACCACTTGCACTAGGAACCAGTGTGATGCCCACAGCTCTCACAGGAGCGTGGCTGAGTCCCTGGAGCACACAACAGCAGGACACTATCCCAGATGCCTTCCTGGGAGATTGTGATCAATTTACACCCACGAACTGTACCATCTCTCCCCACTCTCCTGAGGGGCAGGGAGGCTCCTCCTGGGTCTGCCAGAGGTCCTGCTGCTGGCAGCCCCACTGTCATCAGAGCTGGCTGGCAACCTTCAAATAAAGATACCTGGGGCAAAACAAGTCTCTTTGTTAAACTATTGAGGCAAGAACAAACAGAAGAGTGGACAGTGTCTCTGCTGAAATGATCCATCCCTGATTGCCACCAAGCTCGTGGGTTTGGGTTGGCTGATCCCAGGTTGTGTTATCCCAAGAGCTACACAGCACTTTGTGCTGTGAACAAGCAGCAAGGCTGAAGCCTATGTGAGGCTGAGCTGCCCCGAGGCCCTCCAGGCACCCCTGCAGCTGGGCAGCCTGGCCTTGTATTCTCTGCTCTAGTGGCTGGGAGTACTCGTGGCTGCGCCCGGCGCGGCTGAGCCGCTCGCCACAAGTGTGCAGAGGAGAGCTCTTCTGCCTCAAGATCTCCTCGTTCACCCGGAGCTGAAGCACTGCCCAGCCCTGGCTGCCCTGGCCCTGGGGTGTGCAGGGAGCTGCTTGGGGGCTCACAGGGAGGGTGGAAGGGCACAGCACTCCCTGCACCTCCAGCTGCTTCCACGGCCACTGCCTGGAGCACCCACCACCCTCTGGGCACACCTGGGCCTTCACAAGTACACCGAGGATAAAACCAAACTAAATGACCCACCGCTTTGCAGAGAGTTTAATAGCACATGTGGCTCAAAGCATGCAGAGTGTGGGTGAACAGCACAAACCCACGTGCAGGTCTTGCTGCCTCTGGGACCTCACTCCTACACCGGAGATGCTGCAGCACATCTACTTCTGGATGCCACTGCTCCTGTCTCCCTCCTGTGTCCACTGTGGGCAGGAAAGCTGCACTGCTGCTGGGTGACATCGTCTTGAAAAGAGCCTGAGGATGCCCTGCTTAGATACTCCAGGTGGAGCAGAATCAGAGACCTGCTCAGGCACTGCTTCCCTTGGCAAAAGAAAATGTCACAATGCAGAAAAAAATATGATCACTCCATCCGTGGTGCATCCTCACTGCACTGTCTCCCCAGTGGCTGTACGGGGAGCACTGGCAGCACCCAGCAGTGGTTGGCAAAGAAAATAAACGCAAATATGCTCTGTTTGTGTGCTGAGGAGCTGGTAAGGAAGCCAGGGGGTGAGCAGGGAGCTGCAGCCAGTCACCTCTCCCCAGTGATCCATCTAGCAGAGGTCTGGGGCTTAGGAGGGATTTCTGGTTCTAATTCTACCACCTCCATGGTGACATTGGCCTTCCTACAACCTGAAACAGAAGCAGCTAAATAGCTGCTTTGAGCTGACAAATTCAGCCCTGTCTGAACCCCTCACCTTCTCTGGCTTCCCTTGTCTGGGACCATGGCTCTCCCAGCACCCACCAGCACTTACTGCCACAGCTGTTGGTTTACAATACCTCACAGCAGCAAAGAGCTGCTGCCACCCCTGGAAGCAGCCCAGTCCTGCCCAGCAGGAAGGGTCCCTGCTGCACCCTGAGGAGCAGCTGTGCTGGGGAAAGCAGGCAGAGAACTCAGCACCTGCAGGACCTGTGGGAGAGGCAGTGCCACTGGCAGAGCTGTTGGGGCTCCCCCACCTCTCCCTCCTCTGTGCAGGGGGACAGATATACCAACAGCCCCCAGGGCTGTTTGGAACCAAAACGATTCCTGCAGCCTGAGCAGACACCAGCTGCCCTCTGGGCAGTCCTTCACAACACAGCCACAGTAACCAGCAGCAAGAAAAACTACAGAAAACGATGTAGGCAAATGTTACCTGAGGATTTGAACGCCATCAGCTCTACAGCCTGAAGGAGAGGAGAACATGTGTTAGCAGAAGGTACAGGTCTGATTGCTTTGCTGCTGGTACCCCCAACACACTCCCCAGGGCCAGGCAGGGCCACGGAGCCCCCAGGCAGGGTGGAAACCAGAGCCTTCATCCCTGTGCCTGAGAGATGGGCAGAGTCCCCAGGCACAGCTGGCAGTGGGGAGCTGACACCAGGCCCCACACTCTCACTGTGTGGTGACCCATCAGGCTGGACAGCATGTGGGAGACCACAGGAAAATGCAGGAAAGAGGAGAGAAAGCTTTCTGCCCCTGTGCTGTGGTGGAAAGAGCCCACCCAGCCTGCATCCAGTGCTTAAGAGATGGTTAATGCTCTGGGAGGTGTAAAATTCCTGCTCCCAGCCCATCAACAACAATCGTCACCAAACAACACTAAAAAAAGCTGAAACATGAAGAACATCTCGTCTGTGTTTGTATCTTCACTCGCTCAGTGTTTTGTCATTTTAAGTGTTTTCAAACGTCTCTAAGTAGCATCTTCTCTTCATCCAAACTATTGTGCAGCTGCCAGTGACATTCTGAATTCGCAGCTCCTCCAGCGAGTGCCATGACTCACTGAGCCAGGGAGCAGGAAAAACAGCCCTGGCTTATATAACTGAGGAGCACGGAAAGCAGCCCCCACGCAGAGGAGGGTGGCACCACGAGGGGCACAGCTGTGCCCACCCCCTTGGCAGTGAAGAAGGGGCTCGGAGGGACCACAGCTCTCACATGGAGCACCGGGAGCTGCCGTAGCATCTGTGTGCTCAGACAACAGCCTCACCCCTTGCTGCATCCCCGTCCCTCAGAAGGGAGACAAGTCCATTAAAAATGCAATGTTTATGCAGCAAAGACACAGCAAAGCCCTCAGTGACCCTCACACGGAGGGAAGCACTTTCTGTCTTCGCCTGGATATGCCACGGCCTTGGCATTTAGGGGATCTGCTGTCTCCTAATGCCTCTACCCTAGGGAACTCTGGGCTCATCCCTGGCCCACGTTTCCTAGCTGGTGCCAGAGGTTTGGCCCTGGCCCCATTGCACACAGTCAGCACCTGGCTGGCTGAGAAACGCATCACCTGTGACTGAGCCCTGGTGCTGTTCAGCAAGAGGAGAGGAACAGCATTAACCTCAATATAAATCATGAGAGATGGAAATATGGATTTTATTGAGTGGCTTCAAAACGATATGCCAGCTATAGAAGTATTATCTATTGGATAAATAAGAGCTGTCTATGTGACACAGGTTTTCAAAGGATAAATATTAGAGAGGGAGAGAGAGATCCTTCAGTGAGAGACTCATGAAAGTAGTGTTGGATTTTATTCTGAGGAAATTACAGCACTTGTATTTCAAGTACACAAGGACTGATGATCATTTCAATAGTGGGAGATGGAAGTGGCAGCAGAGTAGTCAAATTTAAATTGTTCCCTGCTTTTGGCTACGTCTTGCTGAGCCCCACTGCCTGATTTAATTTGCTGTCCCTGGGGAAAGCCTCCTGCCTTGATCCACACCAGCCTCAGCCTGGTGTTTTATGGCTCAGATTCACTGGCACCTTCTGTTCCTGCGTGCCCCTGCTATGAGCACTCCCTGGCCTGGCAGCAGGGCTGGCTCCCCATCGGCTCCGGGGTGAGCTCTTGCCCTGGAAATCATCTGTTCTGGGGCTGCCTCCTCTCCTCCCTTGGAAACGTGCCCTGCCCTGTTGTCCCCACTGCCCAGGTCATACCCAGCTCAGGGGACATCCCCACACAACTGCTGTGCTGTGTGTCAGGGTGAAGGTGGAAGAACAGCACACGTTACGTACCGGTCTCTCAGGTGACATAATCGATGAAATCCCCATGGGAATTCTGGCTCCAAAATTTCCTAAAAGGTGAAACAACACAACGAGTTTGGAGACCAGAGAGTAGAAACACTCATGCTTTACCAATAACTTGGTCCTTTGTGCCCCCAAATACCTCCCACTGAAGCAAAGGGTCCAAACAGTTTATCTGCATCATTACACCAAGAAACCGGTTAAAGAATGCAAAACCTTTTTTCCCCCTATTTCCTACTGCCACCTTTGCCTCTCCTTCTCCAGAAAATTCATCTTAGGGCACAAACATTCTCAGCTCAAGAGAATGCAATGCTGCCTGATACATGGAGAACCCCTTTTCCATGTCCAGCCAGCCTGCAGGCATGAACCTGAACCCCTCAGTGGGGACAGCTCCAGACCCCAAGTGCTCACACAGGCACCGTGTGCAAATGAGTGAATACAGTGCCAGGTGAACATGCACTAAAATTCAAGCTTTGGGTGTCATCACACAGCCTGGGCTAACAGCTGACAACCCTCTTACCCTTGCTGGTGATGTTCTTCGCTGGAGGGTCTTTCTGCACAGGGCTTGGCAAGGCATTCTCAGCTGCAGGACTTGTCTTCCCTGTCTCCCAGGAGGTTGTGTTTCTTGGACTTGATAAGTAGGTGATGGGATGAGAGCAATTCTATAAGGACAGGGAAGAGATACAGGACAGTGAAAACTGCAGCATGAGTCTTTGCTAGATCCAGATCCAACTTCAAAGATTCATTTCATCAATACTGTGGCTCTGAGGACTTAGGCCATGTCCCTCCCTGGCACAGCAGGCTGCTGCCTACTCAGGGTAGGTTATCTTTGGGTCTATGGTGAACAACAGCACAGCAAAGAAGGGAGACATAAGGTAAAAAAAAAAAGACTTCTTTCCTACATCATCTTCTCAAAGCAGACCCAAGGTACAGCTGGGGCTCTCCTCTGGTGGGTGGTGGGGCAGCAGGGATTCCTTCCAACTTACTGTGAATGAGAGGGCTTTCTTCTTGTCCTTCATCCTCTGGATGGCATTCCTCACCTGGAGCAGAGCAAGGACATTAGAGAGGGCCACAGCAGCTCTAGCAGAGCAAGAGATGCTCCAGCCATGGAGAGAAGGCACAGTCAGGGCTGTGCTGCCTGTTGCCTCTAGAACAGCCCCAGCTACTCCCAGATGCTGTGATGAGTGATCCCCCCCAGCCAGGGGCAGCTCTTACCTCACTGCTGTAGATTGCATAGACCAGGAATATGTACAGGCCCTGGAAAGGAGAGAGCAGAGGAAGGGTCAGGGATGTGTGACTGGTTTGTGCTTCTTTGCATGGAGGAAGTGATTCTGGTGGGCACTGGAATGGGTGAGACTGGCCCAGAGAGTGGGCACAGCACAGCAAGGGACAGCCAGGCAGGAAGGACTTCCCACACTTGAGACCAAGCTCTTCACAGAGAGTCCAAAGCAGAGATGGTCCCTGCCCCAGTCCCTCTTCCTTCTCCTCCCCCCATTTCATGTGGGGGGAGTGGGAACCTCTCACTGGGCACTCAGCTTCCCGAGCCTGAAGCTCTCCCACACTCCCATTCACTCATGCATGTGAAATCCCCCAGGAAACACCTCCTTCAGTTCTCAGAAACAGAATCCACCAGGAATTAATTGCTAGGGGAACCAAAATCTGGGAAACAGACCTCCTTTTCCACTGAGCACCGACCCCAGTGGCTTTAGCTAGGGCTGGGCCCTCTGTCCCAGGCAGTGACTGACCAGTGTGAGCAGGACCCTCCGACCCAAGCACAATGGGATGGACCCAGAGGATTGCTCAACCCCCTAACTGGACAATCCTTCCCACCAGCACACCAGGGCTGTGGCAGCACAGTCTTGGCCACCCCCCCTGCTTGCCAAACTGGCACTGCTGCTCACACAGTGAGGACCAGTGAACAGTGACACTTGGCTACCACCACATTTGTATGCCCAGGGCTGGTGAGGGATGTGCTCAGGGACAGAGCCCAGGCCAGGGCTGGAGCGAGCATCGCCCGGGGGCCACAGCCTGGGGCTAATTACAGCTCCAGACCAACGATTTTGGCCTTAAAGCAGCCCTATCTGGTCCACCAGATTTATGTTCTATCTGTGGGGTGTTTTGTTATCGCAGCTAGATAAATCAGCTGCAGCAAGAGATGCAATCCATCTTGTCTTCAATGAGCCTTGCTCTCATCTGCGAGCTCTTGGCAAGCGCAATGGTAGCAGCCCCCTGGCACCGCGCCGTGACCTGTCCTTCAGCCAGCAGTGCTGGTCACTCCCCCAGACCAGATTTCTGGTCAGGCTGCCAAGGCAGGTCTTCCTTGAAAGAATCATTCTGGATGAGTGTGGGGAGGGGGAGTGGAGAGGTCAGCTGGGAGGAGGGTGAGGAAGGAGAGGAGGCCCAGCTGCAGCGGCAGGAGAGCCTCTCCTGCCTGTGCTCCCACCGTGCTCCTGTCCCTGCTGCCACCCACGGTCCCACCTGCCACCTTCTCCCAGCCAGGCCCACAACACCCTGGCCCTTGTGGCTTGCTGCTCACGGCAAGGCAAGTGCTGTGTGGCTACCAGTGAGGGCACAGCATGTGCCAGGATCTGCAGAGCAGGATGGATGTTCCTGCCTGGCATTTGTCTGTCCAGCAACCACGTGCTGTGTGCTCCCCACACCCAGCTGGGTGCTATGCCATCACCTGCTGTGCTCTCACTGATGAGTCTCTGCAAGCCCCTGCCCTCAGCACCATCCTTACAACTCCACAGGTTCCAATAAAGCCAGCAGGTTTTGCTGACACCCTGTCACAGCAGGCAGCTCTGCCCAGCACTGGCACTTGGTAGGAGCTGGTGCTCCCAGCTCTGAGATAGGGGGTGGAAGGCAGACACTGCCACCTGCTCACCAGCCTTGGACAGCCCCCACAGCCTCTGGCACGGCACCACAAGCTCCTGTTCAGTCACTGGCTGCATTCCTCACTGCCTGGCTGGAGAAGGAGCTGTCGTGTTTGGTGTCGACGCACAGAGTAACCTTGAAGACAGACTTTGGCTTCCAGAGACACACACAAAGCAGCCAAACAAACAGCCAGCCCAGCACTCGTGAGTGCAGCAGTGTGCTGGCCTCAAAGGAAATTCCTGGGGATCCAAAGGACAGTCAGCAAAGAGGCTGAAATGGGATGGCTTTCTCCCAGCTCTGCAGCTTCCCACCAGCATTTCTCCTCTGGGGTAATCTACAGATTGACCAGAACTTGGTGATGAAGAGACGGAGGCAAAGGAGCAGAGCACAGTCATGTCTGTCCACACAGCACAGAGCCTTCCTGCTCACTAACCCAAGCATGGCATGAGGAGGCATGGAGAGCTGATTCTATATGTAGTTACAATCAGGATAGGACTCCTGCCACCCTTCTGATACCCCAAGGAGTGGAGATGCAGAAAGGCATCCCTTGTCTGGCCTTGGGACATCTCATCCGAGCACGGATGGATGTGTGTGAGCAGCACCTGCCTGCTGGGCCAGAGCCAGCCACAGGCAGAACATCCCTGGGCAGCCACCCACCCTGTGCACTGGTGACAACACCTGGATTCTCCCTGGGGGAGCTGGGCCAATGCTCTGCTGAAACCAGCCAAGCATGCCAGAGGGAAACACTGCGACCTCAGCTGCTCTGTAAGAGCAGGAAAAAGCAGGAGTCAATTTCTGTTGAATCCAAAGGAAAAAAAGGGAGATGGGGTAGAAAACCCTTTGGATCCCAGTGGTCTGGAGGGTAGTGCCCAGTTGCCCTCTTGACTTTGATCCCCTGGATTTGTCCTCAAGCACTGGGCAAGGGACTCCAAACAGCCAGTGCCAAGAGACAGGACTGACTACGGGGGCACCCTCGGGCACTGCTGCCTGAGCCCCAAGTGGGACTGAGCCCACACGTGTTCCCCTGCCTGGCTCCCTGCTGCCAGTACCTGCTAGAGAGAGTTCCACCTTCCCCCTGGGACCACCTCCCCTGCAAGTGTTGGGAGCAGTGTTTGATGGTGTTCAGTGTTTCTCTAGCTCCATCTACAGCTTCCTTCTCTTGAGCTTTGAAAGCTTCTGCCCATGCTTTGAATTGCAGGTGGCCAATGCATGTTCTGGGACTTTTTGTCACCATGTGTCGCCGAGTTTCAGACATCCTAAGGTCCTGGGAACAGTCCTAGCTCGGTGCAGAACTGTTTGCTCTCTTACCCACATACAGGCTGGTTAAAGCTTCAGAGTCTCTTTAAAGGTGAAAACAGTAAACTCAGAAGCAAATATTAAGTGTTGCTTTACACACCAGGGTTACTTTCTGCCCTGTTAACATTAACAACGTGACTTTGATATCTGGTAGCCACAGACATGGCCCTGGAAGTAACCAAGACAAGCAAAGATCCAATGCAGCCAGGTGAGGCTACCAAAAGAGAAATGAAGAGTCTGAAGGGTGACATGACATGACTCAACCAAGGTCTTGCAGGTCAGAGCTAGAAACAGTCCCACACTTGCAGATGAGCTGTGTGAGGCTCTGACCACCAGCCCACATTGCAATCTGCTCCACCAAACACTCCTGCATCCCATCAGATCACTTCAATTACCCATTAAATAAGCAAACAAAAACTCTGCTGAAGTTCCCTATGAGCATTGTAACTGCCATTTTGAAACCATACTGATGTCAGGAAACCTAACAGGAGAAATGAGACCTGAACTGGGAAGCTGTGGCACACTAGGACACTGCAGACACTGGTGCTGAAGGGCCATTAGATGAACAAGGTCTCCAGAGCTGTACTTCATATCATGGGAGGAGGAACGGAGTTTCCTCAGACAAAACAGGCAGGGGAAGCTGGGCTGGATTCAGAGCTGACACGTGTCCCTGACTATAAGGACAGGCAGGGTACACTGAAGAAACTGCTGGTACCTGCATGGCTGTGACCTGGGGATCCACCCAGGCAGGACTCACCTGGAGGGAGTTCAGCACGATGAAGACATAGGCCCAGATGATGCTAAGGTGGACGAGGACCCCACACACCCAGGTCAGCCCCAGCACGGGCAGCAGCACCAGGACGGGCTTGGCTGTGGCCCTGGCAGGAGGAAGAGCTCAGGGTTACCCGGGCGTGTTTCAGAGATGAGACACTACCAAGACAGGAGCTCTGGGACAAATTCCTTTGCAAACAAAATTAGTCAAGATGGGAAAAGCCAAACATTTTGCCTCCCAGCCCATGCATGCCAGCCCTGTTATCACTGAGAGTTAGTGAGTTGGGAGCTCTTTGACATCATTAGCCATGAGAAAACAGCTATTTCCCCCCCCAATTTCTGCTACAAGGAGGGTTTCTGTATTTGTTTTATTTGCATCTGGATGTCACCCTGCCCTCCAGCAATGCCCTATCTTTGTGCTTCTGTAAATTTGGGAAAATTTATTTATGCTACAGGGGAACAATGCGTGTCTAGCAGGGGTACCCGGCGCCAGCTAACAGCAATAAAGAATCACAGGGGATGATAAAGGAATGACTCAAGCAGCAGATTTTTAGAGGTCTCTCAATATTGACTGATTACAGAAGTGCACACTGCCTCTCTCCCAGTGTGTGTAACCCCCATCAGCCTCACTTTCACCCCACCAAGTCCCAAGCCTGGAATTTCTCAGGCACGGACAAGGCTCTCCCATCCCAAAGGGGTGATTAGGAGGGTGAGTGCAGGTGGAGTCCAACACTGGGTTCCCCAGGTGCTGGCTAGGCTTCTCAGTGACACTAGAGCAGCCAGACTGCTCTGGGTGGGGCACAGTTATCCTGGGGGAGAGAATCCCTTCTGCCCCAACTCCCACAGTTCATGGTCTTTCACTTGGCCAAGGCAAAGACTCTCAGTGTAACAGTAATTCCACCACTTCACAGAATCACAGAATCACGGAATCACAGAATAGTTTGGGTTGGAAGGGACTTTAAAGATCACCTAGTTCCAACCCACCAGCCCAGGTGGCTTGAAGCCCCATCCAACCTGGCCTGAAACACTTCCAGGGATGGAGCAGCCGCAGCTTCTCTGGGCAACCTGTGCCGGTACCTCAGGGAGAAATTTCTTGCATGCATTTAACACTGTCTAATACACTTCACACCTGGAGCAGCCATGGCTGGGAAAGGCAGCCCCTCTCCTGCTCACCATATCTGCACTCCAATCTGGCTCTCCAGGCTGCTGTTGGGCGTCAGCATCTTTGTTCTCCTGCGAGCACTGGACACAGTCACCATCACCACCCGGAGCAGCACGAACGTGTTCACCTGCCAGGGAAGAGCCATTGGCCTCAGTGACCTTCGGCAATCTCAGCTCCAGCAGGGGAGACTTTTCTGCTGGGAACTAGTGTCAGAACTCGGGGAGAACATATCAGTACCCAGCATGCAGTGAACCCACGTCCTCACAGAGCTGTCTATATCGGTATGAAACCTACGAGGCTTACCCCAAAACTTCTCCCACAGAATGTCTTCCCCCTTAAGTGTCTATTCTGGGCCCCTCAAACATTGTGCCTTTTCCCCTTGCTATGTTTTGTACAATGATATTTCTTCTACTTCAAGGATGTAGCTGTTCCCATGTTAAAATCAGACCTTTATCTATGCAATGTCACAGTCCGTACACATTTATCTGCATTCTTAATTGAACAGCCAACACAAGAACTGGTCAGCATAATTTCCTCAAAGCACTTTTTGTCCTATCCAAAAGCTGCTTTGATTAAAGAGATTTATTTGTCTTATGGAAGTCTATTCAGGCATAGCAACAATTCCTATAAAGGCAGCACACACGAACCCTGCGAGCAAACTCCTTAGCTACACCCCTGCCCTGCCAGCAGGTGCTGACACTCCTGACTCTGCAGTGCTTTTCTAGAACCAGGCCTGGCTCACACCTTCCTGCAGGGCTTGGCACTTACAGCCAGGATGAAGAGCACAGGACCAACGAAGGCCCAGATGACGTTGGTCTGAGCATTCAGCCAGCAGTGGTTGTCTGCCACGTACTTGTTAAAGGAAGTGGCAAGGGTCACCCCCACGATAAGGACTGGAAGGCCTGCAAGAAAAAAGCACAGGTTAAACCCCAGGAAAGGCAGAGATGACCCACACAGGGCACTGTGTGCCAGACAATTGCCTCAAACCCCCACGACCAGACAGGCTCCAGCAGGAGCCTCGAACCCCCATGAGCGACATCAATTCCCTGCAGCTGAAATCTGTCCTGGCTCTGCAGGACCAGATTTACAAGCTGTCAGCATCATTCCCTGAGGTATAAAGCATTCCAAGTCTGAGTCCTGGGCAAAGCAATTTACTCCTCAGATTGCTTTTTTAACAAAATGGACAATCAGAGACACAAACCCATCTGAAACACTTGAAGCAGTTGCCCAGTGCCCAGCAAGGGGTGAGCTCTGTGAGGAGCACACACCTCAGAGCTTCTCTGGTACAAACTCAGCTACTCAAATGAATTCCGTGTCCCTGGAGGTTCCCTCAGGATAAAGGGTGCCTAGGCAGGAACATATTCATATTCTAATTACTATCAGACAGTAGTGATGCTCCCCAAGAACAAGAACTTGGCACAAATCTCCTGCATTTTTTTGGTATTGAACTCTTGGATTTAGAAAACAACAAAAATGCTGTTCAAATTGTATGTTAAGACTGGCAATTTGACACATAATTCAAGAGAATCTCTGCAGAGCAGTGGCATCCAGCTCTCCTATTAAATTGAACCACACATTTGGGACTCTCTCCCACTAAAATCTTCACTAGCCAAACAGGACCCAAGGCAGAGCAGCGTGCAGATACCCCAGCCTGTCACATAGTAGAACTTCATTCTCCTGTCCTCACTCATGTTGACTGCCACCACTTTGCTCCAGAGGAGAAGTCCCTCTACCAGCATCCAGGAGAAGGCTGCCATGAAGAAGAGGTGCAGGAAGGCAGTGACCATGAAGCACAGCACCTGGAGAGGACAGTAACCACACAGCATTTCAGGAGGAGCCATCCTGTGATCAGGAGGAAGGGAGCAACCTGCAAATTATGCTGCAGAGTGAACAGAGATGTATTTAAACACCCCCAGGCACCAGGGAGAAGTCTTAAAATGGCAACACATGAATAGTCCAACTGCTGCAGCTCACACTCATTTTGTCTGTGGGACCAACTCAAACCACAGTGGAGGGAACTGACAGCATCTTCTGCAGCTCTGGGACTTTCCAGGCAGGTCTCTCACTTCAGAGCTGCTTGATCCAGCTCTGGGACATGGAGGAGGACACAGAAAGGCAGAGAACTGTATGCTGCTGGTTTATAGCTACTTAAATTTCTGGAAGAATTTTTTTATCAGAAACAAACTGCCAAGAAAAAAAGTGAACTTTTTGATGGATTGCACAATGTATATATGTGCACCTCCAAACACAGACACAATTCTACCCTAATTGCCAGTCACAGCTGATTCATGAAACATTAGTAAAAGGGTTTATACTTCTGTCCTGTTTGCTCTGGCAGTGATGCTAGAGCAAGTCTGGTCCCTCTGGCTGAATGGAACATTCCTAGTGAGCTCACCTGGCTGGTCTTGGCCAACTCACTGAACATGAGCAGAGCTTCTGCTGCAGCCAGTGCAAAGATCAGGTTCTTGTGCACAGTTGTTCGTTCACTCTTGGGGATGCTGAGAAAGGAGAGAGGAAGACTTGAGCTGCAGCCAAACAAAAGGGTGTTCATGTTCCTCCTGTCCTCGCTGGGCTGTGCAGAACTGCCTGGGTGACCTGTGATCTCTGCTACTCACTGCAAAGACAACAGTCCAAGGAGGCAGGGGACTCTGCAAACACTTGGTGCTGAGGACACGCTTGGGTACAACTGCTCAGCCCTTGGCCATGACTCCAGGGAACAAGCAGTGAGAAGGAAGTGGAGGGAGCCACTGCAGTGCTCACAGATCTCTCTGCTTGCCACGGGACACAGAAGGGATGGCAATCAAAGAAATAGTCTTTGCTCTATTTATTTTATAAAAACTAACTCTAGCAAAGCAGCTTTTATGGTAATCATTGTTAGTCATTGACATAAATCTTGCCATGGACACCCAGGAGCATGCACAGCTCACATGAGCATCTCCTCAAACAACCAGCTGCACACCCTCTCCAGCCAACAACTGCTCCCCTCTGCTGTGGATCACAGGGCAGCTCCCCAACCTCTCCCCACACACCTGCATCACCTCATGCTGGCAAAGGACACCTTGGCAAAGGACACCTTGACAAAGGCTCTGAAGTAAAATATCAAGCGAAAAAAAAATATGCAGAGATGGCTACAAGTGCCTGGACTTTCCTTACCGAACTACCAAGAACAAAATGAAGGTGCTTATCAAGGCACAGAAGGAAACTCCACATCCGATGAAAGTCAAGGTCTGCAGTGTAAACTCCTCCTTGGTGGTCCTCTGCTCCAATCATGAAACAACAGAAGACAAAGTCCCCATGAATTAACCACAGGCTGCTCTCAGTCCTGGCACCCACCCCACAGCACAGCTCCTCACATACCTCCAGCTCATACACTTGCAGCAGGATGGCAAAATTTGTGGTGTGGTTGCAAAAACAGGCAGTGGAGTCTGGGAGAGATGTCACCACAGAGCAGCCAGCTGTGGACCACATCCCACCAGCATCTGGGCTAACATGCACCAAAAACCAGAGAAAAAACCATGGAAATTACCATCCACTTCGACAGAAAGCCAAGACACCACTGGGACCGTTTGGAGAGTAGTGAGCTGCTTCCAAAAACAGTCTTCCCACCTTCCCCAAACTGATCCATGCCTGATACAAGACTGGGACTCGAAGGAGGTTTTTGCACTTGAATGACTTAATTACCAATCCATAATATATCACAGCCTCAGTGTTCTCACTGCAGTGACACTCAGCAAAAGCACATCCCCATGCCAGGCAGGATTTACGAGCCTGGAAATCCTGCGTGGCTTTGGGCCATATATCTCGGATCAACTCTCCTTTGTCACAGGCAACAATCATAATTAACTAGGGCTTTCCATTTTAGTTGTATGTACCTCATCTAAGGTCACTTGCTTGTGAGTGACTTCTCCAAAGGAAATCTTCCCAGGAGACCACTCTGCTCCAGAGACAGAGGATGTCAGCATGCAAAGGAGGCAAAGAATTACAGATCCCTATGCTCACCATTACATTTATATTGAGATGTTTGGTTTCCCAGTGGAAATAAAATCTTATAAATGTGGGGATCTGAACTGAAACAAGGCACCTGAGGCTGAAGTTCCAGAAGGCACATATGGGCCCCACCAGTCTGTCAGGCAGGTCCTGTGGGCAGAGAGGGGGAGAGAAGAGGTCACACAGCCAAGCACATGCTGACACAGGTGGGTGCTCTGCGGTTGCTTGGCTGTGACAGGGTCTGTCAGCATGGGGCAAACACCTCCCCAGGGACACCAGAGCCCTGGGCAGGGCACACCCCTGAGTCCCAAAGCTCAGGGTGCTGAGCTGTGGCTGTGGCCAGCCAGGTCAGGCTGTGTGCTGCAGGAGGGGGCTGGGGAGCACAGCCTCTGCTGGGGTACCTGGCTGCGGTGCTGCAGGCGATAGCGCACAGATGTGCTGATCTCCTCGTAGTCACTGAGCAGAGTGGATGAGATCACAGCAGTGCCCACTGTGGTGCCCAGGTACCTGCCAGGGAAAGGATGCTGCTACTCACAGGCACAGGAATCTCAGGATGTGCTCAGAAAACAGGATCTTGCATTGTACAGGACAGTTGGAGAGATCTGGACCACTGCTGGAGTATGGCAGTGCTGCCAACAAATGGTCTGGGCACGGGGCAGAGTGTGCCATGGGATCCCTGGCAAACAGGACCCGCAGCAGTGCCCATCGCCGCGGGAGGTGACCCTGTGGACAGGCTCTGGGCAGCCCATGGGCCGAGCAGAAGGCGCAGTGTGTGTGGGGATGTGCGGGTGTCCATCCCCACCTAGTGTTCAGCACTCCAGGAGAGCTGCAGCCTCTGTCTCCCGCGCCCTGCGAGCCACCAGCGTCCCCAGAGACACCTTCTGCCCAGTCAGGGGGGACCCTGCAGCAGCCCCCGCGGGCTCTGTCCCCAGCCACCCCAGCAGGGCAGGCACCCCCAGGCGTTCAGGAGACACCACGGAGCATCCCAGCGCCAGATCCAGCGATGGATCAGGGTGGAGGTGTCCCCAAATTCGAGGCACCAAGAGACTCAGTGCAGCCTCGGAAACGAGCTCTCCTGTGGTGCTGGGGACAGCCCTAGGGTGCAAGGGTTCTGTCCCACTCACCTCTGTCCCCCGTGCTGGGACTCGGCGCTGCTGCCGGCGCTGGACAGGCAGCGCTGCAGGGAACTGTACCCAAACCACATGTTCTTCACCGTGACTCTGCGCAGACCTGCAGGGACAGCACAGGCACCCAGGGTAGCTCTGGGGTCCAGAGCACCCTCAGCTCCAAGCTGTGTCTGCAGAGAGGCTGTGGATAACCTCACAGCCCATCTCCCTTTCACCATCCCCACCCTTCTCCAGACCACACGTGTGCAAGGCAACGGTTTGTGCTGTTAAGGAAGGCACTGCAGGAGTGCCAAGGGGAGACCCAGGGAAGCTCAGGTGTCATGATCTACCTCTGCCTTTCAGTCTTTGCATTTCTTCTGCGGGAACTTCGATGAGGTCGTGCCTTCCTTTCTCAGGGGTGCGGATCACGTATGCCTCACCGCTCAGCTCCTGCCCGCTCAGCTCCAGCTCCCTCACCTCCAGCCCTGTGGAGGGGGAAAATCAGGTGCTGAACCAGGGTGCAGCCTCCCTCCAGAGCTATTGCAGCAGCAATGCACCACAGGGACACTATAACCCCAGCCAAGACCCACAGAGACAGCAGACAGGTCCCTTTCAGTGCAAACTTTGTGCGTCTAGGCTGTTTCTCCTGTGCCCAAAGGTTTCTTACAATCCTCTTGCAACCCACAATGTGAAAGGTGCCCTCACACTGTGACATTCTGCATGGATGAAATGGGGAGTGGGCTGTAGGGTTAGCAAGATGTGAGCCAGAGGAGGAGAGGAACCAGGAGCAGGCTTGGACTGGGAACCAGACAGGGTGACTGACCTGGGTCCCAGGGACATACTCTCCCCCAGCTCTACCAGTGCCACTCACCAACATTCCTGTGCTGGATCGTGATCTTTGTCCTCCCTGTGGTCAGTAGTGGGACTAAGAGTGATGCCATTCTGTCACAGAGCTCAACAACAGCCATGGGCCCTGTGATAACCTGCAAACACAGGGAAAGACACAGAGATCAGCACCTGTACTACCAGCTCTCCCTTCCCTTTAAGATAAACTCCCTTAAGAATTTTCTGAAATGTTTGGTCCTTGGCAGACAAAAGAGTATTTAGGGCTCAAGGATTTGGCTCTGCTTTTCTGTGACGTCTTCACTAAGGGATGCTCCAAGGTCCTGTGTGTGTTGAGTGCACAGCTCACAGCCCTTCGCCCTCAGCAGACGTATCAGCTGCACCAGTTCCTCTGGGCCAGCACTGGTTTTATGCCACTGTCGAGAAACCATGAGTAACTGTGACCATGGAGACCTGAGCAATGAGGCAAATGGAACTACTCAGCATCCTTTCATCTCTGGAAGTCCCTGGCTTGGCTCCTGGAGCACTGGCCAGGCCGGACGCTGTCACACCGTTCCCAGAGGCAGGTGGAGAGCGCAGACAAGCACAAAAGACCCACATGAGAATGCACAAAACCTACTGGGGTGGGATGATGGAAATCCCTCACACAAAGCCTGACAGTGCTCAGAACAGCGTAGGGGCTGATGACTAACAGCTCCTTGGCAGCCCACCCACAGAAAGCACAACAAACTGGAAAGGGAAGGGCACTGCCCTGCCAGGCAGCAGGACGTGGGAGCGAGGAATCCACAGAGCACCGGGAATCTGCAGACTCTGTCAATGCTGTAAATCCAGGCTGGATCCAGGGGTTTTCAAGGAAGGCACCACTTCACTGCACTTGTTTGCACCAGAACTTGTTTGCACCTCCAACAAATGAGGCACCAGGAATGCAGCTGGCCCTTATCTGAGCTGGGGAAGAGGCTCCATGCCCATGCTTGCAGCACTTTCACAAGCTCCAAGGTACAGCCACAAAGGCTGCAAGTGACCATGGTCACCTAACAGGCCAAGGAGCTGCACACACAAGAGGAACTGATGTGGCACACAGCAGCCAGACTGCTGGTGACACCATTACCTGGCTGACTGATGACCACGCACCAACATTCTGCTCTTCCAGGATAAACTCAGCCACTTCCATGTAATACTGGCCCAACTGCTCCAACACCTCCAGCTCATCTCCCTCCTGGACTTCCATATCTACAACTTGCTTTAGCAATTGAAGCACTGCAAAGAGGTCAGATGGCTCCAGCACAAGCATTTCTTCTTCCCTCAGGACAGTTGCCAAGACATCAAGAGCACCAAGAGCCACAGAGAGATTCAAGTCTTGGACGTCATTCGTGAAGATGCTGTCAGGAATCTGCTATGGAAAAGATAGTTTAGCTCAGTGCAGAGCCCTAACTCTGCCTGATCATCAGCTGGGCCTTGGCATGTCCTTGCTGGTGTCAGGACACCCATTTGGCCAACCAGACTGTCCTGGCAGAAGAGATGTCTTGTCCAGACTCCCAACCTCAGTGAGATGAGTCAATCAGAAGCAACACTTTGCTTGATTAATCACAGCACGAGTTACAGCAATATTGGTCACAATGTCCAACAACAGTTCAAAAAGGTCACAGGCACAACTGTTGGCAAAGTGACCTCAGACAGCAGTGGATGCCACCACATCCACCCCAACAGCTCTTGCTGGGGCTGCAGGACTCACCACAGTCCTCGCTGCGTGCGCGTTCACACGGCCAACAAGTGAGTGGCTGGACTCCAGCTTAGCTCTTTTCAGTTGCCAGTATGCATCTGGAAACAAAGCAGAACCAGAACCATAGCTGTGTCCAGCAGTGTGGTGAACACAATCCATGTTCAAAGCCTGGGGAATGGTGCTCAGATGGTGCCTAAGCCTGCAGGACAGGCAGGACAAGGAGACTGCACAGCTGTGTTTTGTTTTTAGCACAAGATCCCATCTGGAGAGACAGTCTAACAGTTTTTCTGCCTTCTTCCCATGTTCCCCTGGCCTGGAGATGCCTGGATTGGGAGGCACTCTACAGCATCCAGAAGCCATGTGATGTTTACACCCACTGCTTGGCTGGAGAGGAGCAAAATCCCCTGACAGAGTGCAGGAACTGGAGCGAAGTCCCAGCCTCAGTGGGTTTTGCATGCAATCCCCTTGGAGCAGACATGAGGCCTCCCCACCACCCCAGCCTGGACCTCCAGGAGTGCGTGCAGGAGAAGCAATGAATAAATAACTAGCAGATGCTGTACCCTTTCTGTAGCGACAGATGAAAGGCAAAGTCTGCAAACAAGATGCATAAGAGTGCAGGAACTGGAGCGAAGTCCCAGCCTCAGTGGGTTTTGCATGCAATCCCCTTGGAGCAGACATGAGGCCTCCCCACCACCCCAGCCTGGACCTCCAGGAGTGCGTGCAGGAGAAGCAATGAATAAATAACTAGCAGATGCTGTACCCTTTCTGTAGCGACAGATGAAAGGCAAAGTCTGCAAACAAGATGCATAACTGAATCCTGCCAACTT